GCTTTTTTCTTAGTTTTACCTTTAAAATGATACTTTTAAAATTTATCGTAAGGAAAAGTAAATATTCAAAGATACATTCTATTAGTGAATTTTATGCTTTAAATTTTTTTTTTAGTATTTTGATGTAACGGACTTTTTTTTTTATTCTTGAATAGTTTGATATATTTTAAAAGTAAAAACAATTTATGTCAGTCTAAATCAGTATTCTATATTAGTCTTCTAATTAGATGCTAATATAAACCATCTAGCCTGGAAAGAAGAATTAAGGTTGTTCCAGGTCAATATTAGGAGGTTGGTAATTTCTAATTATTTCTGGATTATTATAAAATAAATATATTTTATTTTAGACAGAAAAATATATTGATGTATAACAAAGTAAATATTTTGTACAACACAAATTAACTGATAGAATCTTGTAACTAAATCTACCGACATCCTTAGATATAAATAGTGTTCTTTGTTAACAAGATGTTTTCCTGTAAGTAAAGGGAAATTCATGATTTATGAGTTTAATTGCTCATTTAAAGTTGGTTCAATTTCCTCTGAACATACAGATAAATTTATAAGGCCAAATTTGTACTTTAGTGACTGTCATGTGATAGGTTGTGTGCTATAGTTGGAAAATTAATTACTTGAAACTCCCTCAATACATGCTCTGTTTTCCTGCTGTGTTTAAAATTGCACTTCAAGGACAGAATCAGAAAAAAACAGCACAGCTTAGGAATAGGAAAGAAGACATTTAAAAGATAAACTTTTTAGCAAGCTTATAAAAATAGGGAACTATTTTTAAATATTGTACCTTGCTTATTTTAATAAGTATAATTTATTAAATGTCCAATAATTTTATGGTTGTTGACAATTATGGATAGTTATAATTAGTTTTAAAAGTCAATTCCGATACTTGGATTGAGGGATTTTTCAACAGATTCTTGTCACAGTAGAGAAGTATTGGTTTGAAATCGGTAAACTTGCCAAACATTTGGGTTTTATATTCTCGGTCTATCCTGATCTTTGTATCATTGAGGATCCTACTAAGTAGATGCTTAATTAGGCTTCATTTTGAAAGGTTCCTTCTCCCAACATAGACTCCTCTGACCTTAAAAAAGTATCATTGTAAGATCAGCTTTTAATAATGTGTAAATGCTAATATACACTGAAAGTCTTGAGGCTTCTCTTTCATTGTTAGGAATCTTTTTAACAAATGCTTGGTCCTTTAGGACATATGTTTACTCAAGTGCAATTAAATCTGATAGTAGGACCAATTGTATGTCTGTTGTAAATGTTGATAAATGGGAACATTAGCCAATCAACCAAGTTTCAAATAGTGTCATGCACCCTTGTGAAAGACTGCATTTATGGATAAACATGCCCCCCCTTGTATGTGCCTTTTTAAATTAAGTTGATTATAAATTATTATTTTTGTTTGAACTTAATATAATCAGTTGAAATGTAATAGTTAATACATTATATTGACAAGGGAAAATTTTTGATTCACACAATTTTATATAAAATCACCATTATATTAATTCTCATGAGCTAACCAAATATCTTAATGACACTGATTACCTTATGTATCTGTTTATTTTCAGTAGATTGTTTTTATTGGAAGGACCAATACAGACAACTTTCTTATATATAAAGTATGTTATACTACTTTACTTGACTAAAAGCCCATTCTTTTCATAGCTTGCATCTGGATGGTACCTTAAATTTTAAAATGTTTGTTCAAAAATAGCTTACTATAAGTGATGAAATGCTACTTACTCTAAGTGATGAAATGATACTTTATAAATGTCATCTATTTCAGTATATTATATGAAAATATTTTATTTCTCTTTTGTAGTTCATATGGTGGAATGAACAACAACAACAAAATACTGGGCATTCTCCTTTATAAAGTCTTTATAATTCTTTTTTTTAAAATATATTTTACTGATTTTTTACAGACAGGAAGGGAGAGAGATAGAGAGTTAGAAACATTGATGAGAGAGAAACATCAATCAGCTGCCTCCTGCACACCACCTACTGGGGATGTGCCCGCAACCAAGGTACATGCCCTTGACCAGAATCGAACCTGGGACCCTTGAGTCCACAGGCTGACGCTCTATCCATTGAGCCAAACCGGTTAGGGCAAGTCTTTATAATTCTTAAGTCTAAAACTAATATCCTGCCATAGATGTGACAGTAATGGACACCTAAGAGAGGGTATACTTTTACTGTCCTTAATCACTCCAACCGGTTATTGGTTAAATGAACCATTGGAAAGAGTTCTCATTAGAACTACCATTAGCAGCACTGAAAAGTAGAATGTTTGACTGTGGCAAAGTAACAATTAAGGAAAAGAGGGGAGATAGGAAGAGTGGAGGGGTACGCTTAGCTTCTTAAGGTTCACTGAAGTCTGTGATTCATTACAATAACATACGTGAAATAAGTCTTTATATTTTATTGCCATTTAAATAAGATATGGCTGTTCAAATAATATTAGTTGACTGTTTCTCTTTTTTTTAAAAAAAAGCTGTTTTCATAAAATAGTTTATAATAAAAGCTAATCACAGGAAGACAAGAAATCCAATAACGATTTTAATATATTTGGTACATTGAGATTTTATGATTCAAATGAATGTTATATCTGCTAATTAAAGTTAAATTATTTTTATATAAGACTAGTTAAGATCTTTTAATAGATCCTATCACATAAATGATGGAACAATTATTTAATGGGCACTTACAGTTGGTAGTGAGATCATTGTCAAATCTTTCATTTTCATCCTTTGATGTAATAAAAATTTTGTATAACTTTCTTAAAATGTTAACTTATTGGTGCTAAGTGTTACCATATTCCTCAAAGAGTAAAAGCATTGGTGAATTACTTGCATAGTTGTAGCATGTACCTCCTTTTAAAAACATTCTAATTAAATACTGTATAATAAAATGTCAAGTTCAGGTATCACCATGAGAATATTTTTTTGTTTTTTCCTTGTTTGATGTTTTATTTCACGTTTTTTGTTGGGACATATAGCATCTAGTAGAAAGAAAGTTGGCCTGTAATCAGGAGACCTCTGTCTATTTCTGGTTCTGCCACTGAACTTGTTTTGTGACCTTGGGTAAGTCACTTGAATTCTATGTGTCTCAGTTATTCTCTAAAATTAATGACTGGTTTGAGAAGAATTTTGAATGTTTGAACCCATATAACATAGAAAACATTGCTGCAGTGCCATTATAAAATAATCCAAGATAAAGGAAAATAGTAGGTAAAGAAAGAAATATTTGTTGTTTTTATGTTTTATACCAAAAAATGTTTTCTTAGAGATGGAATATGTATAAGCAGTTATTTTATCCACTTTATGCCAATTTTATTTTAACATGTGAGGAAACTATTTTAGTAGTATAATAAATATGTCTGTAGTGAAATTTTGCATAGGAGAAATAATGCAAGATATACAATTCAGCTGTCCTATGATATTAATATATCTCTGATTTTTCTACCTTTGAGAAATGGATGGACTAGGGTTGGGAAAAATATGGCATATATCATATTAATGTATGAGTACAGTAATGTTCTTGTGGTCAATCCTATGAACAGAGTCTGGGTTGTACTATAATTGTGATGAGACTTAGTGTCTCATTTTGAATAGGTCAAAGATGTGTTTGTATAATAATCAAAATTACATTATTAAGTTTCAAAATGTGTTATCCTTTTCAGTTCTCTATAATTCATACGAGGAATCCTTTTTTCATAAGAAAAACATTTTGGTCATGTACGTTTTCCTAGTCAAAAGTTTTCATTTTTCTCAATATTCAGGAAAAGTGAGAAATTTGTTATAGGAAAGAATTCTCTAAAGAGTTATAATTCCAATATACCAGTATTCCAAGTGCAGTTTGATACAATATGGTCTTCTATAAACTATGATACAACTATTGCAGAAGTGAATGTGGTGTTTCTATTTAAGAATTTTGTGGTACCTGATTTAAAGCTAAGTAGGTAATTGAAATAGGAGATTTCGGCTTTGTTATGTTGTGTTCATGTGTCGATCATACTAACACTAATTCACTAATATCTTTGGAAGAATTTTTTTTTGGAATGCTGAATTTAGCAGACCTTTCCTGCTTTCAATCACTGTTTCAAATGTCTTTTGAACTTCTCTACAGCCAATGGCGAAAGACTGTTTCCAAAATGTGTGCCATATCTGTTATAGTAGCTGTTGGATTTGGATGGGCAGATTTGAAGAGAGAAACATCAGTGATCGCTGTGGTGTCTATAAGAACTTTCTTAATAAATAAGCATTATCAGGGAATCCAATCCAATAAAATTGGCCTAAATTGAAGGTTAACTTGAATTTTTAATATTTACATAAAGCCATATATTTCAGCTACTCTTCTCATAATGAATTTTATTATATTTGTTACTCTCCATCATATTTTATGATATTTTGCTGTACTGAAGTCATTTAGTAAACATTGGCCTGATGACTGTACTTTATTTTCATGCATGTGCTGATCTATTTGGGAAATTTAAAAAGCATAAAATCTGTTGGAACTGTTTTTATTGCTCTCTTTGAAGATGTTTCAATTAAATTTTATTTTTTACATGATAATTAAAAATCCTAAAAGGATTTTCACTGATCCTAAATGGACTCAGTAACGCCTTAAACAGTATGGTCACACTAGTGACATGGTTTTTATTCAAGGTCTCTTCCTTCAGCATCAGTGATCAGGATTGGCTGTCCACAAATACTTATAACCTTTTGAATCCGCTTTTTCTCCACACTAACTTTATTTCTCTGTTCCTACTAACCCATAGTAGCTTAACCAATTCATCATCAGTTCTTCCCTTTGTTTATAGAATGTGTTTGATGATATCTTTCCTACCATTATGCACAGGATTCTTTCTCCAAATGATTTGGGCTCTTTCCTTGCGTGTCACTTTTACCCTTTGAGTATCTCCACTCACACCCATCTCCTTTGTCTATGTCTGTCATTACTAGATGTGGTCACAGAAGACGTGGACCCCACCAGGAGAAGACATTCAGGTCTGTCTCTTCTACTGCTTTTCTCTGCTATTTTTCTATTTAGTTAACTTACCTTAGGAAGTTTTACTATTTTTTTAATCCAATTTTGCATTCTCCTCTAATATAACAAAATGTTAAACTCTTTTAGGTATTTTCATTTTAGGTAGTTGTATAGTCAACTTTTAACGACAGCTGCTCCAGTTAGATGGATGAAAATAAAATGATTAATTTTTGTGTTATATTTCCCCCCATAACTGGATATATATATATATATATATATATGATCAACTAGATTATATAAGTTAATTATAATTTGCTCTTCAACTTATTTTAGACTTAAAACTTGTACTCCACTTTTTAAATAATAACAAAAGTATCTTGTTTCTAGCATGAGTTCAGCAATGTGCTAAACTGTGGAAAATATGAAAGACCTACATGCCCTAAGCCAGGGGTTCTCAAACTACGGCCGCAAGCCACATGCGGTTATGTTTGTGTGCCAATGTGGGTGACTCTAACAAAGGTATAAAGTCAAATAAAATCTGTTTTAACTAGAGCATTTTATTTCTATCATTAGTTCAGCAATGTGCTAAACTGTGGAAAATATGAAAGACCTACATGCCCTAAGCTATCAGTATCTTTGAGAAGTTAAAATATGTGGGTAACATGTTATGTTTGTGTGCCAATGTGGGTGACTCTAACAAAGGTATAAAGTCAAATAAAATCTGTTTTAACTAGATGGCCAGAAAGGCTTCATGGAAGAAGTAACACTTGAACTAAAACTTGAACATTCATTCAACACTCATTTAAAAAAAATTTTTAATTGATTTTTACAGAGAGAGGAAGAAGGGAGAGAGAAATAGAAACATTAATGAGAAACATCAGTTGGTTGCCTCCTGCGTGTCCCCTACTGGGCATGGAGTCCTCAACCTGGGTATGTGCCTTGACAGGGAATCCCAACCACCAACCCACACCCAGCCAGGCCATTGAACGTTCATTTTTTAAGCACCTGCTGTGTGGTACTGTTCAAGGTGCTGGAAATAACAGGGCACAATACAGCCCCCTATCCTTGTGGGCTTTTCTAATGTGGGTCTAACAAGTAAACACAATAATATTACAGATATAATGAGAAATTATATATCTATATATTTAACATATATGTTAGTGGAATCACAAAGTGTGATCACTTCCACCTGAAAAGGGTAGATATTAGTTCAAGAAAGACTTCATAGAAAAAATGACCTTTGAGTTGCATGTTAAAAACTAGAAAGATGTTGGCCTTATGTGTAGAAAGCATTTCAGGGAGGAGAAATGATATAGGCAAAATAATTCAAACAGGTTCAGAAAAGTAGGCAGGGAGGGGGTCTGAAGATGGTGTAGGTTATTGAAGCATAAAGTAGGGAGGAACAAGATCAGATGTTTCTTTCTGGAAAGATTAGAAGCTATATTTTAAAAAATGTACCTGTGCACTATAAGCAGAAAGATAATTTATGAGGATAATTCATCAGTCAGTTAAGAGATGATAATGAGCTGAATTAAAGTATCAATAGAGGCAATTGGTACATCAAAAGTTATTTAAAGGCTTAGTTACAGATTAGATATTATCAATGCAGAGAAAGGAGGAATAAGATAAAAATCTCAGGTGACTGACTGTTTGGAAAGATGGTGGTACATGTTATCGAGAGAGGGAAGGTAAGTTTTAGGGGAAAAACAAAAACTGTGATTGGGAGTTACAAAATAGTCGTGGGGATGTAAAGTATAGCATAGGAAATATAGTGAATAATCTATAATAATGAAAGCATAATAGGCTAATTAGACCTGATGTCCTTCCTTCCGGACAAAGCCACAGTGGGCAGGGGCTGAGGCAGAGGTGGTAGAGACCCCCTGGCCGAGGTGGCGGTGGGGGGCGGGGGCTGGGGCCAAGGCCCTTGCATGAATTTCATGCATCGGGCCTCTAGTATTGTAACAACTATGTATGCTGCCAGGTGGGCACTGGAGATATCAGGGGGAACACTTTGTAGAGTAAATGATTGTCTAACAACTGCAGCCACTGCAGTGGTAGCTGCAGCTCTATGGCACTGCCTTTTCTCCTGGCATGAGGAAGCTGAAAAGTGAGCGTTCTCAGTTCTAGTTGTAGGCCTCTAACACTGTTAGGTTGGAACTGGGTCTGTATTAACTAACACTGGAATTTAGGATTCCACACATTCTCCTAAGCCTAGAAATAAATGAAGACAAGTGCATTCTGTTTCAAAGGAAATAAGAATTAAAGAAAGAATGACCGAGAAGATAATAAGAAAAGCTTCAGAAAAAAAAAAGGAACTAATTTTAGAAGAGAAAGGAGTAAATTTTCTAACAAGCAACTCAGAATGGATTTCACTTGTTCAATAAAAGTTACAGGAAGTTAAGGCTTTTCAAAAACTCACTGGAGTTTGTGACCAATAAAATGTAACATCTGTATTAAGCTATCACATCTCTCATGAATAAGTTGGTATTTTTCTCATTAGCACAAGCTATTAATAATTCAACCCAAATGTGATGGAAACATAATTTCATAAGGTTAATCTTTTCCTGACATATTAAATTGAAGCGTATGTTTATGTTTTACACCAAAAATCATAGGATCTTCATTTGTGTTAGTGGATCCTAGTATAGTCACTGAGGAATGGAGTTCATTACACATTATGAAGCACCAATAAACATTGATTGTAGCCCTCGCAAATCATAATCAAGTTTAGTGAGCTTTATTAATGTTTACACTTTTCCTTCTTATTCTTATGAAATTTCATGTAACAAATACTTTTATTTTTCTTTTTCTTGTTAATCCTCATCTGAGGATTTACAGTTACAAATATTCTATATTTTTGTAATTTGGAAAAAATTGAAAATAATATCTATAAAGAAGTTATTCCAGAGTTTTGTCCACACTAAATAATCAAAAAATGGTAGCTCTTAATTTATTACTACGAAAACAATTATATCAAAAGTTTATTTTAACAGACAGATATACTTATGTAGCTCTTTCCTTATGATTTATGATTGTTTTTAGAAAAATCACAGGTTTTGAATTTAAATTTAATATATCAATAATCTATAAACAATGAACTACTAAAGGGTTTAGATAATCTAACCCATCTCTATTTGTTTAAAAATAGAGAGAAAATAATTTTAATGGTAGAGCTAAGCATTAGACTATACTTACTACCAGTTTCGTTACTTATTTGTGGCACCAGAAATAAGGCAAACTACTTAATTCTAGATACTTTTTAAAAACATATTATGCTTCCTTTGAAGAACAATCAAATAAGTTATGCTTTATTCTCTATTGCCTTATAAAGAAACATGTTGGTGAGCAATAAAGTATGAGATTCCAAGGCCTGTGTGATCTTAAGTATTCATTGGTAAAAGAGAATTGATCACTTGTGTGTGTGTGTTTACTTTCAATCAACAGAAGAATAAAAACAAATGACCTGCCAAGATAAAAAAAAATTATTTCAAGAGTAAGCAAATAAATGCCTAGAAAGAAAAACAAACAAAGAAGTGTGGGCTACCACTTTTCTCATGTAGGACTGAAGGGCTGTTTTAAAGATTAGAGAAATTTTTTTAAAAGTATATGGCAGGTTGCCAAAATGATATTTTTAACATTTTTTAAATTATTCAAACTTTCAAATCTCCTCTCAAGATATTTTTAACACACACAACATACATATTGCTCAGAATTATATTAATGTATAAATAATGAAAATGGGTCTTGATTAAGATAGAAATAAAAATCTAAAGCAGAAACTACTAAATCTATAATAATAAAAGCATAATATGCTAATTAGACCGGACATCCTTCCGGGTGACCTTCCGGACGAAACCAGGGCTGCGAGGGAAGCTCAGGTCTCGGGTGCCTGCCGATGGCCAGAGGGAAGCCAGTGCTGGCAGCTGGGGGAAGGAAGGCCTACTCTTGCACGAATTTCGGGCCTCTAGTATCCTTATAAAATACCCAAATAATCTATTTGGCTATACTAGGCTCAAGTCATTCTCTAGGTATCATAATAGCATACTAAACTATTATATACATGATTGGCTTATATAAAGGGAAGGTTATTTCTGAAATTCTTATTCCAGTGACATGGAAGTATTTCACATTCTAAAAATTCATTTGTTCAACAAATATCTACTGCCAGGTTTTATTCTAGGCACTGGGAAAGTAACAGTGACAATGACAGTCAAGGTCTTTCTCATCATAAAAACTTCTATTATTAGGAAAGTAAATAGTAAACAAGACAGGTTTATTTTATTTTTATTTTTTGTTAATCTTCACCCATTGATTTTTAGAGAGAGAGAAGGGAGGGAGGGAGGGTCAGGGGGAGAGAGAGAGGGAAACAGAAGCATCGATGTGAGAGAGACACATGCATTGGTTGCTTCCCACATGTACCCTGACTGGGGCTGGGGGTTGAACCCTAGACCCTTTGGTGCCCACAGACCGATATTGTAACAGTTGAGTCACACCAGCCAGGGCCAAGATAAGTGTAGATATTTGTAAGTGATATTTGTGCCGAGGAGTAGGGGGGGCCGAGGGAAGGTTAATGGGGGAAAAAAGGAGACATATGTACTACTATTTGTAATACTTTAAACAATAAAATAAAATTTTAAAAAATCCTTATGTAGCCTATTATGACTTGGGTAGGGAAGGAGTTCTTTTAAATAGAGTAATCCAGTAAGTTTTTTCTAAAGAGGTCATATTTTAATTAAACCAAAAGAATAAGAAGAAACCAGCTATGCAAATTATCCATAAAGATCAATAAACAGAAGATAAAGCAAGGGCATTAAAGTTCAGAAGAGGAGAATAATTTGGGCTATAAATATTTTTCTGAAAATGCATTTAAGTATTGGTGACAGATAAGAGTTTTAAATAGTTAAGATTTGTAGTGGCCCTGGCCAGGTAGCTCAGTTGGTTAGAGCGTCATCCCCAATCCTGTCATCCCCAATCCTGTCAGGGCACATACAAGAACCAACCAATGAATGCATAAATAAGT